TACCAAATTCTACTCCCTGGTCCCCGTACATTTGTAAGAATATCATAATGCAGAGTGCATTTAGTCCAACTTCAAAAATTCCCCATAGTCTATCACAGTCTCAACAATGTTTTAAAGTCCAATGTTCAAAGTCTCTTCTGAGATTCATAGGCTCTCTTAACTATAATAATCTGTTGGAGAAATTATTTTAAGGTATAAAGATATGTTGGTTTCATTTATGCTGTTTTTGCTTAACTCTGTGAAGCTATGATTCTTTCTCTGTCTAAAACATCTGAGGGTCTAATAAAGAGCTGAAGAGCCGATAGTGAGGCAGGAGAAAGGATAGGCAGGGCCGGCTGGCAGAGAGAACAAATAAGAGGAGAAATCTGAGAAGAGAACAAGGGGAGGAGGACGTTGGGGCCAGCGACCCAGTCAGCCAGACTCAGACTAGGAGTGAAAGTAAGACACACAGAAGGAAAGGAAAAGGCCTGAGGCAAAAGGCAGTCAGGATAATTTAAGAAAAGCCTGCAAGAAACAAGCCAACCCTAGACCAGGCGTTTATAAGAAAGAATAAGGCTCCATGTATATTATTGATTTGGGGAGTCCCCAAACAGCAAAAGAGCAAAGAGTAAAATAAACAACCAACTACAACAACCACCTGTAAAAATCAAAATCGAAAAGGCAGATCATATTTCTTACATATAATGGCACAGGATTTACATTACCATTCCAAAATGCAGGGAAGGGAGCATGGCAAGGAAATACTGGGCCAAAGCAAGACAAAAACCAGCTGCGCAAATTCAAAACTCTGCATCTCCATGTCAAAATGCTCTCCAGATCTCCAACTCTATTCATTGTTGACTGTAACACATTCCATTCTCTTGGCCTGGTTCCACTCCATCAGCAGCTCTCCTTGACGGGCATCCCACAGGTATCTGGCATCCCTGACACCTTGGGTTCTCCAAGGCAATCCAGGCTTCAATTTCACAGCTTCACACAATGACCTTTTGGGGCCTCCAGTCAGGGAAACCCTGACACTTGATTGGCTTTCCATAGGCACAGAGGCAATTCCATAACCCATTTCTTCTTAGCTCGAAGGCCAGAACCGTGTGGACAAAGCTGCCAAGTTCTCTTGACTGGAGCTGGAACATGGCCCCCTTGTTCAATAACATCTTCACTAGCTTTCTGTCCTTCACTGCCTAAGCTTGGCTGTCCTAAAACTGGATCTCTAAACCAGGCTGGGCTCAGACTCAGAGATCTGCCAGTCTCTGCCTTCCAAGTGCTGGGATTAAAGGTGTGTACTACTCCCTACATCTGGCTGTACGCTTTTCTTTTCTTCCTTTTTACAAGTTGAAAACTTAACTGGGTGGGATCCTGCCCTAAGGTCACCACACCCTTTATCCCATTTCTTAATCTGTTTATCTCCTTGAACAAAGCAGCTTTCTGGTGCTCTCTTTCACCTCAAACATTTCACTTTATGCAGCTTGCTCCTTTTCATCATAAATCTTCACCGGAGTTAACACTAATAACCACGTAACAGAGTCTATACAAGACTGTTTTGAGATTTCCTCTGCCCACAGAATTAATGCAAAATTTTTACTTTCGCTTCAGGTGCTCTTGGGACAAGGGCAAAAAGTGGCCACTTTCTTCACCAAAATATCACAAGACCAGTTTCTGGGCCACATACTAACATCCACTCCTCTGAAACCTCTTGATCCCCAGTTCATCAAACCACATTCAGCCCACTGTCTTCCATGTGCCTACTAGGATAACCCATTAAGCAGGGCTTAAAGCTTTCTACTGCTTTCCTAACCCAAACTCCCAAAGTCCGTATTACTCCAAATGAAAACGTGGTCAGTCCTATCACAGCACTATCCCAGTCCCTGGCACCAGCTTCTGTCTTAGTTAGGGTTCCTATTGCTGGGAAGAGACACCATGACCACAGTGACTCTGATGAAGGAAAATTAGCTGAGACTCTATAGTACATGAATTGAGCGATACAGGAAATCCATCACAAACCAGTAAGAAAAAGAAATTCACCGTTCCAAACATTAGTGTAAATATGGAGAATACCAAAGAAAAAAAGATAATCTTAAAAGGAAACCAAAATAAAAGATAATCTATAGTGGTATATTATTTATGGTTTAATAAATAAAGCTTGACTGTAGATGAGAGGGCAAAGCAACCATACTAGCCATACAGCCTTACATGTCAGGGAGTGATGGAGCACACCTTTAATTACAGGACTTTAATTCCAGGACTCAGGAGACAGAGGCAGATGGATCTCTGTGAGTTCAAGGTCATCCTGGGCTACACAAGATGGGAGACATCTAAAAGAGAAACAGGACTCACACAAAGGTGATCCCAGCACTTGGGATCCCAGGCCTTTAATCCCAGCACTAGGCAGGTGGAGACAGGAATGATATGGCTGGGCAGGGAGAGGAGTATAAGGAGGAAGAAACAAGAATTCAGTGGAGTGTGGGGTGTGGAGTCTTCAGGATTCGAGACAGGATCTCATCTATTTTCAGTCTGAGGTAGAGGTAAGAGCCAGTGGCTAGCTACTTTGCTTTTCTGATATTCTGGTTGAATCTCATTATGTCTCTGGGTTTTTATTATTCATGCTACAATAATCTAAACAGTGGATTGATGTTCTTGGGAAAACCATAATGAAAGTCCTAAAGACTACCTGATCGTAACTGACTAGAATATCAACATTAAAGTTGAGAGCCCAAAATGTCTTGGATTATCATAGGCCTTTAATAGCCAATTACCTAGCTTTTGTGTCTAGCAATCTCATGTCTAATGAATGTCTCCCGATACATTCTCAAGCTCAGCAGACCTCTAATCCAATCAAAGGATGAAGGATGTTGTAGTTTTTGAAACCGAGCAGTCTCTCTGGCTTTGGAGCCAATTAACTTAAAGAGCTCACCAAGTGATTTCTAAATACACTGGTTTGTGAGTTTCTTTTGTTCTGTGACTACAAGAGTTTCATATAGCCACTTCTGCACTGGAACAGGTCACTCATGGTGTTTTGAATCTGTTCTAAGCCAGGGTTACTCATGCTTCATTCATGATACTTTTTTTTTTTTAAGATTTTGTGTGCATATCTGTGAGTACATGGGCATGTGTGCTCAAGGTGTGTGTTATCTGTGCAAGGAGGCCACAAGAGGGCACCTGGTGCCTCTACCACTCCCTGCCCATTCCTTTGAGGCAAGGTCTCTCCTTGACCTCAGAACTCATACTTCTCAGCTAGGCAAGAAGGCAGCAAGCCCCAGCAGTATCCTGTCTCTGCAGGATGTTAGAACCTGGGGTTAGGATGTGCACAGGGATCCCGACTGTGGTGGTTTGAGTTAGAAATGCCTCTGATGGGCTCGGGCATTTGAACACTTAGCTACCAGCTGGTGCCAATGTTTGAGGGTGTTAAGGAGGCATGGCCTTGCTGCTGGAATTATGTCACTGGGAGCAGATTTTAGAGTTCATAACCTCACCTCACTTGGGATTCTGTTTGCATTTGAAGATGTAGTCTCTCGGCTTCCTGCCCCCATCCCCATGCCTCCCCATCGTATGGAATCACATACCTCGAGACCTTGTGTGTTATTCAACTACCTACCCCAGCATACCAAATCAAAAATAAAATGGTGGGCTGGAGCGATGTGTCAGCCATTAATGACTCTTGTTGCTCTTACAGCCTACCACCTTCACCTCCAGCTCCAGAGCATCTGACACCCTATTCTGAACCCCACAGGTTCGAGGTTTGCACATGGCACATACACATATGTGCCAGAAGACACATACATACTACTTAATAAGCTAGTAAAAAAAAGCAACAACTAAAAAAAATTGGCAAAAAGTGAAACGCTACTCCTTTGATAAGACTGTATTTGTTCTGAATAGTTGCTGGGGTAACAACTTTGGATTCTTGAGTACAGGTAGATATAAATAGTTTTAGCAAATCCCAAACTACTGGGCAAGTTAGTACATGCCTGAATTTAGGAGATGAAGACAGATTAGGTAGAGACTGAGACCCATGGGTTGAGAACCACTGTTCTAGACTGTATTTGTAAAAAATTAGAGCCTTTGAGGGGACTCCTCTAACCAGTGCTGACAGAGACGTTGGTATCCCAGAAACAGCATTAAAATTTAGGATCCTCAATCATAAATCTGGTTTTTAATTTGGCCAGAAAAGGAAAAGTAAAATAATATGGGAGAAAAAGAATACCCATAACTTAGTCATGATCTCTTTGGTTTAGATGTATCTAGTATCATGTCCAAATATACAGGGTATGAAAACGACAAAAGATCATCATCCATCTAGACCCTACAGATCACCTACAGGGAATTAGACTTTGTTAATCGTGTTAACAGGCCTACCGCCTACCATCCCTAATGCCTATGTTTACCTTAATAATTGCAAATAATGTTCCTTCAACCACTATCTTCCACACAGAGGCTCTCAACATGTGGATGGCAATCCCTTTCCACCATCTACACAGAGGCTCTCAACATGTAGATCATTGCAACCCTTTTGTGTGTTGAGAGACTTTCACAGGGGTTACCTAGACCACTGGAAAACACAGATATTTACATTATAATTTATAAATTAGCAAAATTAGTTATGAAGTAGCAACAAAAATAATTTTATGGTTGAGGGTCACCACAGCATGAGGGACCATATTAAGGGTCATAGTATTAGGTAGGTTGAGAACTACTGCTATACAACATACACCTCACCTACAATCCCTAAGGTTAATAGGCCACAATGTCCATTCATTATTTACTAAATGCATTGTGGTATGTTCTAACTGTGAAAAATCAATAATTGCTATTTTAAAAGCCAATGATGGGAATGGAGAGATGGCTTAGTGGTTAAGAGTGTCTACAGCGCTATCAGAGGACCAGAGTCCAGACTCCAGTTCCAATACTTGGTAGCTCACAAAGAAACATGGTAACTCGAATTTAAAGGGATTACATGCCCCCTTCTGGCTTTCATGAACTCACACATGGACACAACACACACACACTGAACACACAAAGTAAATTCTTCAACAGCTGATTTGTGCACACTGATGTAGTCTCAAAATTCAGGGCCTGAGGCAGAAGAATCACAAAATTGAAGCTGGCCTGTGTTATACAGTAGGACAGTATTTCAAAATCAAAAATCAAGCCAACTTTTAAAATTGTATGTAGTAATCTGGCCAAAGATATTTGCCTTTTGAAACTGACACAATTATTTCCTATTTGGATGTTATGGACTGACTTTGAGACCCAGCACAGTTAATACACACACAAAACAAAAAGCAAAAAACCAAATCCTGTTCTTTCCTACAGCATTGAGATGCTGTGATGAGCCCATAGTTTGCTTGCAGGCATAAAATACCTGTCCCACAACCAATGGTAATTGTCTACTGTTGACCATGATATTCCTTTTATTTGAAAATGGTATAAAACAGCTGTAGAAATAACAGGAAGATAGCATTTTTATCACACTATGGCTATTTTTTCCCTTTATACTAGAATTTATTTCCTGCATCCATTCTTGCTTTATCTGGAACATCTCACACTAGGATCTCTGCATCATTGAACATTAGTGTTAATTAAGAAGAGCTCACGGAAAGCTAATCTGAGAAGATGACTCCTTGCTTCCTGGGCCTTTCCCTGAGCACGCTTATTTGTGTACAGACTGGAAATCGGCTCCTGCTGTCTTCCACTCCGCCATCAGTTCCCTTTGGACCTCTTCTGGTAGCTCATAGAAAACTTGAGGATCAATGTCAGGCGGGAAAGACATTTTGTCATCAGCGGAATCTTGCTCTCTGTTCTCTCCTAGTCCTTGATGAGAGGTGGTGGCAACTGTCTGCCGGGGGCTGTCTGTCAGGCGGTGTTTGGAGAAAAGTTGTTCACTCTGCAAATTTGGAAATGAATGAAAAACTGAAACAGCGGGATTTGTATTGGAAAAGTGGAAGCCTTGAGACTCTCTAGGTCCTTGGCTCATGCGTTCATCTTTTAACCGATTATCTATGTAATAGGAACAATCCTTTCCGCAGGGTGGGTGGGAGGCGCTGGTACTCGAGCCTGACGTTCCTGGCTCACAGGGAGACACAGCTGATACCTGCTTGCCAGTGAACATAGTATCTCTGGGGCTTAAGGAACCAGCTTGCATTTGCTTTGAAGAAAAGAAAGATAGTACTCCTCTCGAGGCATGCAGTGGACAGCTTAAACTTCCTTTCCCTTGAAGATTTTCTCCAGATTTCACAGAGAGGATTTCTTCTTGAATGTCTGCTGGAAGTTGCTTAAAGACTTCATGGTCAACACCCTCAGGAAGTGCCGGGAGGGGAAAGTCTTTAGAAGCACATGGAGCATCTGACGGAGACTCCCCGGTTCTTGAACTCTCAATTCTTCTACTTGGTAGACGCTCCCAATTTGCTTCTTTTTCCTTGTAAACGTCGTCGTTGTGGGTGTCTTTCGCTTTCTGGAACACAAGGAGAACAGCAGAACTTAGGAGTCTAACACGCCTGAAATATCACTGATGCTGATCCATCCCTGCAGCTAGCGACTCACAAGCAATTTCAACCTGCTCAACTCCTTCAGTCTCTGTTGCCAGTGTCAGGTAGCAGTGAGTTACACGACTGTGTCATTTACCATGGTATTCATATTTTCCTCGCTAGCTAGCACTGAGCAGGAGACAAAATATGCATAAGGAAAGGACCTCAACAATCATGTGGTTCAACAGCCAATTCTATAAACTAAATGATATAATGATATGTGTGCCTGTGTGTGTGTGTGTGTGTGTAATGCAAATGGTTTTATTATGCATACATTTTCTGCCTGTATGTGTCCCTGCAGGCCAGAAGAGGGCACCAAATCTCATGCTACAGATGATTATGAGCCACTATGTGGGCTGGGACTTGAACTGGGGGCCTCTGAAAGAGCAACCCCTGCTTAAACCTCGGAGCTATCTCTCCAGGCCTCAAATATATTATTTTTTAAGCATTTATGTAAACTTAAACACTATCAACTCAAGTTTGCACAATTTTTCTTAAAATTTTTGCATTTGAATTTCCCTTCCAGTTTTATGTACCATAAAATGGCCACACAATTACAGCTGAACAATTATTATACTATCCCAATCTTAATGCAATAGTAATTAATTTCTAGATATGTTTATATATTTAAGACAATTCACAGTATTCTTATATTCCTCTAGAAAAAATGTGTTGACACTCCCCAAACAGAAGTGCCGGACTGCTTGTCTCTTTTATTCTGATGTTTCCCTTGCCTCTTAGATCACAGTATATTTAAGGCCAGAGGCCATGCTGTAACAGGAACTATAAACAGGTAGATCATCCAAATAGTGACACCACAAAGAATCTCCAAATAACACTAAATACAAATGTGCAAGGCGTTTTGAGCCACAGCGGCACAGTCAGTGTATACTCACAAAACTGCGCTTGCCAGAGTGGGCCGTGGTTGACAGGGACGATGTTAAATAGAAATCCATGGGCCCCTTCTTAGCTGTGCTCAGTGCTTTCAGGTTGCAGAAGCACACACTGAGAAGAGTCAGGTGAAATGGCAGCTTCACGTTCACCATATTTCGGAAAAGTTTCATAAGGATGTCAACCAGAGGAGTCACCGCATCATAATTTTCTAAGTAAATGTTGAAGGATATAATAAACAACTGCATCCTAATATGTATTCAAAGCATAACAATATTTACATGACTTACATTAAGAAACTAAAATCTAAATTGGGATCATTGATTTTGACAATATTTATTAAATGTATTCTACACAATTATTTTAGCTTTGTACCCTTTGAAGTTTGGATCTATTTTTAGTTAAGTATTTACTGAGTAAATAATTGAGAATTTACTTTTATTATCTATTAAAATGTTTTTTAAAGTTAATGCCTGGTAAAATTAACTTTTGAAAATCACATGAAAATACTTTTACGTAGTGTGTTTCAAATTCAAAGTTTACTTTTGACGCAGTCAATATGGCAATCACAGTCTTAGAAAACTAGCCCACACCTGTCCCCAGCTTCTGAATGACATGGGATGGAATCGGGCACTGACGACTCTCACGGTGACAATGTTTCGGAGAATACCGACGGATGACTAATCTTATTGTATGGGGCTTCCTTCCATCATGGCACACTCTAAAAATATAAATGGAAAATCAGAATTATAACGTGTATTAACATGTCTTTAAGATAATGGAACTCTTCTTTATTGAAGTGTTGGGCCGCACTTGGGTGTTGACCAAGAAGTCTTTAAGTAACTTCCAGAACGTTCAAGAAGAAATCCTCTCTGTGAAATCTAGAGAAAATCTTCAAGGGAAAGGAAGTTTAAGCTGTCCACTACATGCCTTGAGAGGAGTACTATCATTTCAGAGAATCACAAATGGACAAAGTGCAGAGAATAAAAGTGCCTGTGGTGCGCCAACCCCAAATACGGCATCTATGACCAAACCCCTACACCAAGGCTTTCTCAACGTGCGGAAGAGGTAGAGGAAGACAGCAGGACCTGGAGGCCTGGGAGGATGGCTACAAGACCATGTCTCTGGACAAGGCAGGGATTGTGGAGCCATGAGCCCACTACATTCAGTGGTCTTAGGTTACAATCAAGGGTTACACAGCCCCTCAACCACTGGAGTTTGAATGTAATTGGCTTCATAAGCTCATAGGGAGTGGTACCATTAGATGTGGCTTTGTTGAAGTAGGTGTGACTTTGTTGGAAGAAATGTGTCACTGGGAAGGTAGGCTTTGAGGTCTCACAGCCAGATCCTGTGCCTCAGTCCACTTCCCGCTGCCTTCTGATCAAGACGCAGCCAGCACCATGTCTGCCTGCACACTGCCGTGCTCCCTGCCATGATGATAGACTAAACCTCTGAAACTGTGAGCTGCCACCTAATTACATGTTTTCCTTCATAAGAGCGGCCAGAAACCCTCACTAAGACAGGGAGCTATATATAATATGTGCATAATAGATGGCTACTGAGGGGGTCAGTAGAAGGAGAGGACATGACTTGAAGGGGATATAGCAGGGGGACATCGGAAGACTTGGTGGGAGGGGGACAGATAATAAAAATAAAGTACAGGAAAATATTTTATATTTACCTAAAATTATATATATATTTATATAAAATATACTACATATAAAAATTACAAACTAAATGTATGGTATATGCATACTATATATAAATATACATGCATACACACACACACACACACACACACACACACACACGGTTTAAAAAGAAGTTACACCACTTCGAGCAATAATGGCCCCAAGAGCCATGAACTATCAAACAAAAACTCCAGTATCATGCATTAGAAATCCCCTCCCAAGCTGTTGGTCAGGACAGTCCAAAATTCTCAAAACAATACTATTGTACAGTATTGTACTGTATTGCGTTATACTGTATTGTATTGCTGTTGCTATAGACTGCCTCCCAGAATTTTAAGGTAAGGGTCTATTTCTGAAGACACCATGCACTATGGACATAGGTCTTGGGAGAAACAAAGTTGGAACTGGTCCAGAAGCCTCATCTCCTTGGAGTGACTCTCACGGTATCATAAGGTACAATGCAAACTGGCAAGGAAAAGGAGCATTGAGTCGTCCTAACCACCTGTAGTCAGAACACTGACTAGAATGGTCAGATTTCAGAAATGGTGTAATGGTGGCGCTTATATTTTGGTGATAACCAGCAGCTGCCGACTTATACTTAAGGTCCACTCAACAGGATGTAAGAAAAAAGCTCAGAGCAAGTTTAAACCAGTGCCTGGAGTATGGCTTTGAAAATACAGCTTCCCTTCCCTCTCTAACTGCAGGATTAACCAATAGATTCTCTAGAAGAAAAATGTATATCACGCACAGACACAACATATATGAAATTACATTTATATCACTCACTTAAATTCTATTATACCTATCTATCACGAAAACAAGGTGCTGCAGTGTGGTGTTGGGGGGCACTGGCAAGCAGAGGCATGGACAGATGCTAAACACCTGGTGTCTCAGAGGTCTGGAGTACCCGCTCTCTTCATGACTGAGTTTGCAAGGCTGAGAATTTATATACAACACATACTTCCTGTGGTTTTTCTATGCAGGGCCGTTCTGCACAGCCACACACTTCAGAGTCCGCATGAGCTGAGGTAAAGTGATGACCCAGTTTCAGCAGCACACGCCCCAGAAAAGAATGAGTCACACCACTGGAGCTGAGTCATGCACAACCTCCGAGCCTTCAGCCAACAGTGAGCTGCATGGCTCAGCTCCAGACATGAGGCGAGCTGCGTGTGACAGCAAAACAGAAGGCAGCTTCAGATGGCCTGCTCTCTGATACACGCACCAAGTTGTTTCATCTGCATACACTACTTTTCCTTGGATTATTCCAGAAGCACACATGTTCTAAATCAATTTGAGAGACTTCTATCAACATGATGTAATGGTAGATTAATACTTCCTTGTGAGAAATAAGAAGTGCGTATTTCAAAGATAACAAGAAGCACCTGGAAACATTTCTTCCTCGGCTTACATTATCTTTTTTCTTTTCTTTTTCTTTCTTTTTTTTTTCCTGTATATTTAGATCCCAGTGACATATTACTGTTAACTCTCAGGCCAGAGACTCTGAACACACTTGTATCAAGGTTGAGTCTTCAAGCCACTACCACATTTAGCCACCCCTTTCTTTGACTCCAGCGTCGCTCCAGCAGTCTGAGGCAGGGGGAGGGAGGTTTCTCTGCTTTCTCTAGCACTGCCGTTTCAGCGTCTTCCTATTCTGAGCCCTCATGAACCTGAGGCCCATCCCTACGTAAGACTGTTAGAGCCGTGGCAGAATTACTCTTTCCTACATTTTCCTCTTTCAACTGAAAAACAAGTAATTATGTTATCAGGAGCAGAGGCTGTGCAATAGTTACGGGGGGGGGGGGGGGTTAAAATGTCCTTCTTACCTCAACTGCAAACCTAGGAATATTAGAAACACCTAAGAAACCACTCAGGTAACTACTGTGGCTTAAGATCAACATGACCTCCATATTACTTGAGTGAAGACTAAAGGAAGCACGTAATTTTAATTCAGAGTACCTGATGAGAGAAAGCTAATGACAAACCATCTTCCTGAACACAGTTTACCTGTAAAAACCCAACACAGAGCGTGAGGTAGACTTTGCCATGTGGTGCATACAGGATGAATACAAAGGAGGACAGGCAAAATAAAACATACCTGTTCAAAAGGCTGGAAAGTAGTTCTTCAATCTTAGTTTTAGCTTCAGCTTCTGAAGAACACTTTTTAAATGTATCTTCTTCACTAAAGGACTACCAAAGGACAAATGAGTGTACATTAACAGAAACTCAAACACAGTGCTTGTGCCAAATAAATACTCAACACATCCTTAACACCTTATCTTAATGCATAGCTTAATATGTGGCTCTTTTCCATTAACTCTTTTAAAAAATTTATTTATTTATGATGTATATAGAGTTCTGCCTGCATGTATGCCTGCAGGCCAGAAGAGGGCACCAGATCACATTACGGAAGGTTGTGAGCCACCATGTGGTTGCTGGGAATTGAACTCAGGACCTCTGGAAGAGCAGGCAGCTTAACCTCTGAGCCATCTCTCCAGCCCCTTCATTAACTCTCGGTGTGTGCAGTTATTGTGCACAAGTCAGGAAACTTAAAGGCATGAGTGCCAACTCCCTCCAGTCTCTTTATACAACTATGCAAGGCTCCTATGGCCCTAAAACTTTAATCTGAGTCTATACTGGATAAGTTATTTAACCGTTGGAAAGTACAGTACCAAGGCCTTAAGGAGGAAAAGAGGAAGCAAGGCAGGCAGGCAGGATGATATAAATAAATGGCAGTCTATCTCTGAGGTTTATGATGAAAATTAAATGCACTAAATATGTGGAGCATGGGGGCTGGAGAGATGGCTCAGAGGTTAAGAGCATTGCCTGTTCTTCCAAAGGTCCTGACTTCAATTCCCAGCAACCACATGGTGGCTCACAACCATCTGTAATGAGGTCTGGTGCCCTCTTCTGGCCTGCAGACATACATGCAGACAGACTATTGTATACATAATTAATAAATAAATAAATATATTTTAAAAATGTGGAGCATGTTCTAAAGTACCTGGCACATACAAGAAAAAAAAACTCACACTAATTGGATAATTAAACCTTCCCCATTTTCCAAATCTCTGGACTGTTCTGAGAACAGAGATGTTTTAAAAGAGTAAAATGTTTCTTCATATGTTTGTGTGTGTGTGTGTGTGTGTGTGTGTGTGTGTGTGTGTCAGGATTTAAGGACACTAGTAAAAAGAAAATAGATAACTTGATTAAAACTACTAACAGGCACCGGGTGGTGGCGGTGCACCCCTTTAATCCCACCACTCGGGAGGCAGAAGCAGGTGGATCTCTATGAGTTCGAGGCCAGCCTGGTCTACAGAGTGAGTTCCAGGACAGGCTCCGAAGCTACATAAATCACCTGCTCATGGGGAAGGGATCACATACAAGCAGCAAAGCAAATGAGAGCAGTGAATACTTCAGCCTGCAGACATCTTTATGTTAAATGGCACCATAGCCAGCACCTCATAATAAACGCCATGCTCACATACCTGAGGCGGACCTGAGGGTGTGACAGGGGAACTGTCCTCTCCAAAACTGAGCTTCTGGATACGCTGAGCAGCTGAGATTCCTAATTCCTTCTCTAACGTTTTGATTGAAAAGGTCTGGAGATCGAGCACACAATTGATTCCCAACACTTCAAGACGTTTGGCGGTTTTATAGCCAATACCTGAACAACCAAAATGTCTCGTGTTACAACAGCGCTGCTTCTGAAAAGAAAGCTACTCTAAATACTAAAAATGTTTCCACCATATAAATTCCTTACTACTTTACTAAGATCAAACCCCATTACAAAATATATTGATTTTTTTTCCACCTAGGACTCGTGAGTTACACAAACTTCTTTGAAGCCCTTCTAATATCAAGTACCGTCCAAGAGACAGCCAGTGTGTTCTGTCTGAATAAAACATACTTTTGATAACCTGTGATGTAATAGTGTGGAAAAATTCAAAAATAAGTTGTAATTCACATATGCAAAGAAGCCTGCACTGCAACAATTAGAAGTGCCAAGCACACTCCTGAAGGCACCACACACAAACCCACAATCATGCTTAGTAGCATTTGCCATCCAGAACAAACTGAAAGGAGAAAAGAACTAAGCAAAACCCTTGCTGCTAACCAAACTCCACTAAATCAGTCATATTTTATGCATGAGAGAAGTAAGCTATGAAATGTTTTTGCTATACGTCATCTGCAGTCACCTGGCCTCCCTGCAGTCACAGCAGAAAGCTGCAGGAAGCAGGCATGTGGGGGGAATTGTTACAATGGAGTGGCAGCTGACTTTACAGCAGCGTTAAAGACTGCAGATTAGAGTCAAAGCAAAGGTAAGAGACTGTGGAAAACACAGGTGAGGCTGGGGGCGTGGAGGCTCAGCTGGCAGAGTGCTTGGAGGAACCCAGGAAGGCCTGGGTTTTATCTCCAGCACTGCTGGCTGCAGAACTCAGGACGCGGGGTGGGAGGGTCAGTAATTCAAGGCCATCCTCAGCTACAGCAAGTTCCAGGCCAGCCTAGGCTACAGGATACATTAACTAAAAACTCAATCCAAGCAAGAATGTTTTATCTGAGTATAGAGATCTCAACTGATTACCATCTTATGTGGTTCTTCAGAACACAGACTCAAAGCTTCCAGTTATGCTGTACTGAACAAAGTAAGCCAGACAGAAAACAAATTAAATCATACCAACATTTGTCTAAAAGGGAAGTTGTACCATTTAAGTGGTGAAGTTTTCTGTCGTCTCAAAAAACCATTTTCCCACATTTCTAAATCCCTACAAAAATGACCTTTAACATAGTCATCAACATTAGATAGGCTACCTGTCCATGACTACTGAGTAGGTCACTTGTCTTTGAAGAGGACCGCAGAGACTGGAAGACCATTCAGTCAGTAAAGCGCTTGTCGCTCAAACACTGGGACCTCAGTTCACACCACAACGCCCACAGAAGACGTCAGGAGCTCTGGTACAGACCCACAACCCCAGAAGTCGGAACCCCACCAGCTCACGAGCTCAGATCCAGTGAGAGACACTGTCCCAAAAATATGGTGAAGTGATGGACAAACATACGCGAGGTTCACCTCTCGGTACACACGCACACCAAAATATTGTTTAAATGAAAAGCTTGGCCTAGAAGCTTTCAGAAATTCTCTGTGGCATTAATATTTTATACAAGGTCCACAAAGAGATATTGTGGGATATTGTTTATACTGTGTGATGATATGTCGCTGTGACTGGCTTAACAAAAAGCTAAACAGTCAATAGCTAGGCAGCAGATAGGCAGGACTTCCGGGCAGAGAGAGGCACTGGGGATGAATCTCAGCTTGTGGAGATGCTGGGGAGACACAAGGAAGTCAGATGTACAGAATGGAGAAGTAAAGAACCATTACCAAGAGAATGTTCATTAACAGAAACAAGTTAATCTAAGTTATATGAGCTGGTTAGACACAAGCCTAAGCTAAGGCTAAGCTTTCATAATGAATAATACGTCTCCATGCCATTATCTGGGGCCTGGTGGTCCACAGAAAGTCTAATGAGACAGACCTACTACAAAGTGACATTGTAAACAATGAACTCGGCTCCCTGTGAAATGTGCAGAGACTGCAGTGCAGGCAGAGGCACCTGGCTCCAGGGCACCACTCAGAACCACGTGTGGAAAAGCACTTTCACATAAACCAGAAAACATTTCAGGTTTTTTGTTTGTTTGTTTGTTTGTTTGTTTTTCTCCAAAAGCCAAGTGTGTGCCCCTAGGAACTAAATGCAGACTTAAATTAAAGAAACTACAGCAAAGCCGACACACAATCCTCAAGTGCTTTCATCTTACCGGGGATTTCCTTTATGTGGTTCAAACTGTGAATGAGATCTTGACAGCTTTCAGGCAATAAGACTGTTTGCTGATTTGGTTTAAAGACACCAGAAACTAGCTTGGCCAGTAGCTTATTGGGAGCCACTCCAGCGCAGCCGGTGAGCTCCAGCTGGCTATACATGGCTTCGCGCATCTCTGCCGCAATCTGCGATCCCACCGCCAGTCTCACGTGGGTGACGTTGTGCAGGTTTACAGCTATAAGGACAACGTTATTACCACAAAACGGTCATTTTCTTTTCCACAAAAAGCTTTAAACAAGCCCAGGATTTTGTTTGTATCCACCCCTCCCCCACCACTCTTCCACCTGTTTCTTTAGTTCTTCATAGCTTTCTATAAAGTGACCAAATACCCAGGGTCTATGATAATGAGCACATGCTCCAAGTGCTTAATCACTAACAGACTACAGAAACACAGCTCCTAACAAGTTCCAGTTGAGCTGGCATGCACAAAGCGTCACATTTACCAATAAATAAGTAGAAATAAGAATGTATTCATATACCACCTAAACATTATAATGAAACCAGTTCTGACTGGTTCACAGGTTAGGAGATCTGCTTAGGGCGCTGTAGGGAATATAGAAATACATCTTCTTTGATGTGGAGTGATAGTTTTATGGACCCATCTTTACCCTTAGGAGCCTGCAACTTACTCCCCAATGGCTCATCGATCAGCCTAGCTCAGAGCAAGCACAGAGTCTACAGAGGCAAGATAAAATAAACGTGCCCAAATGAAAACTGGCTAGTCTATGACAGACAAGACTGCCCATATCATGATTCTGCCAACTGATAAACACGTTTGAAAGAAACTAGTTTTAAAACTATTGGGAGTCAGGCACTTGGGAGGCAGAGGCAAGCTGATCTCTGAGTTCAGAGCTATCCCGGTCAACAAAGCAGTTCCAGGTCAGGCAGGCTACATAGTGAGACCCATTTCGATAAAGAACTTCTATGGACGAAGAGAGGGTCATGACCACTTAGGCACCTTTCACATGAAGTATAAAATCTAGCTCTCTGTACACTGATGCGTTTGTTCTCAGCAATAAGGTCTGTGTCAGCTTTAAAGCTGTGCAAAGAGAGGGGATGGAAATAGTTTGCAAAATAAAAACAAAATAGTTTTAAAAAATTTAAAAAATCAAATTGTAAAAAAAAAGAACCATTCTGATTTTAAAATACTGAGTGAAATCAAATATTCTGGAAATGGTTTTATTTCACTGTTGAGTAAAAATGTCCTGATTCTTTTGAATGAAAAGGGGGAAAAAGCTGCACAAAGATCTATCTGGAATCCTTCTTGCTTTCCACCCTGGTGACTGACCAAAGAACACAGGTATAAAAGACACAGGAGAAAGTCCTGGTCTCCTCGAAACAGTGGCTCTACCCATTTCTTCTCTGGAGACTGCATAGGAGCTCCACAGGGGCATAACAGAAGGTGCATGCTGAGAAGGACCAACTAGGTCAGGCCGCTGTTACATGAAGAACTTGTCTGCCACGTGAATTCTCCAGCGGCCATGGGTGTCAGATATTCACAGGCATCACAGCAACTTATTTACAGATGTGAATATCCCAGGAAAAGCATCAGTCCTCCACACCTTAGTATGTTAAGATGGTTCTTGTTAACAGCTGCTAATGGGCATTGGAACCGAAGCCTGGAGAAGTCACCTGCACACCGCAAGATTGGTCTGTGACTAAAGAAAAACCTGGACAAAATTCAGCCAGGATCCAACAGGGGACTCTCAGTGCCTCAGAGGAACAGAAGGGATCAAGGAAAATATATATCAACAGCACATTTAACCTACCTCAAAACTCAGAAGAATTAAAAATGATTTAAAAAAAAAAAGCCAACTTCTGTAACTTAGGATGACCTACATAGGAAGGGTTCTTAGACACAGGCAGGGGAAAGAATGGGATGATAACTCCCTCAGGGAGGGAAGCTACCCGTAGTACATCTCTACATAGCACTGACCGATCATGAATACTTAACGTGGACCAGCAAGACCTCATTTGGGCTGTCTTAGATACTAAACATGACTCTACCTCACTAAGCATGACTCTGCCTCCAAAAACGCCACACGTCAATTAGCAACCTCTCTGACTATGGGATATGCGTCATGGAGGGGGGCGAGGAGGAAGCACTCACCCTGGTTATTGTAAACATGGCCCGACACAGTCACTGACAGAATCTCATCTCTTGGAAGCTGCTGGAGTCTTTTCTCAACCATTTCTGTTAGGTCCACAAAATTTTCATCAAATCCAAGTCTCTCAACAAGTGGACTAAATTCCTCCAACAACTCTAAATTGAAATAATATTGGAGAGCAGATACAATTAATTTATAACTAAAACAGAATTCACTATTAAAGATTAAAATACCAAATACAGCATATAAAAATATGTGTGTTACATATGTATGGATACATATGAAAAACAGCTTTACACCCTTTTAATTTTTAACTTAAATTTTTACTTTATATGTATGCATGTTTTGCCCACATGTACATCTGTGTACCATGTTTATGCCTGGTACCTGCAGAGGCCAAAAGCGGGCATTGAATTCTGTAGGACTAGAGTTACAGATGATTGTGAGCCCCCATGTAAGTGCCAGGAATTGAACCCAAATCCTCTGGAGCAAGCAACCAGTGCTCTTAACAGCTAAGCCATCTCCCCAGTCCAGCTCCAGAACCTTTGACAACATCATCAGTTAACAGACTTTTGGGTAGAGGCAATATTCAAAGAAAAAAATCCAGAAATAATATTCCCAAAGTAATTACTCACAGCAATACATCTAATTCAATCTTCCATATCTGTTAACTTTTTTTTAAATCTGTAGGGGGCTGGAGAAATGGCTCAGCAATTAAGAACACTGACTGCTCTTCCAGAGGACCCGGGTTCGGTTCCCAGCACCCACATGGCAGCTCACAACTATCTGAAAATCCAGTTCCAAGGGATCTAACACCTTTACACCAATGAACATAAAAAATAAAGATAAATAAATTATAAAAAAATTTTAAAAATCTGTAATATACTTTTTAAAAAAAAGTCCTTGCTTAGAGGTAGTTAAAATCTTTAAGTGGATGTCAAGGAATAAATTATAATCTTAAAAAAGTATAACCAGGTATTTTAGCTATATTTTGCACAAGCATTTGCAATAGACAAAAAATAACATTTGAAACTTATTTTGAAAATATACTAAAACGTAGTAGTTTGATGAATCCCACCCTCAGTGCACTTCCTCAGGACGAAGGAGCTAAAGTGGTGAAATCTTCAGGGGCTCCACGCCTAGCATCACGGACAGACTGAACCATTAAAATGTTCACTAAACTGACCCGACCCAAGGCTCAGAATTCAAAAGGACTATAAATTCTGAAATTAGACTTAAAACTAATCAGTAATTACAACTTTAAAGTCATTTTTACTTACTGGATCTTCTTATAACTAGATGGCGAAAAGTACAGGAGTTCCTTGGCATCCATATATACCAAATATATTTTTAAAGTCTGCACAGCAGAAGATACTAATGTTGACCTTTGGCACAAACACACACATACATGTACACACACACAAACACATAAACTTCACATACACAAAATATCTTTCTTCACAGTATTTTTTTATTTTAGATTTTAAAAATACATTTACATAATTTCTGTTATTTACATAAATAGTATTCATGACCAAATTTAAATTACACTCAACTATTCATTTTCTCCACAGCTATAACAGTGAAAGCCACCTTCTTACATAATTAAAATTTTGTATTAAATTTAATTGTTTGAGGGCACATGAAGATACCTTTTTATATAATTAAAAATTTTTATTACTTTTATTCATCTGGCAGGGGCAGAGAAGCACATGCTATAATATGTGTGGAGGTCAGAGGGCAACTTGTCGAAATCAGGTCTCTCCTCTACCACGTGGGTGCCAGGGATGGTACTCCAGTTGGCAGGCTTAACATTGATTTTTGAAGGTAAAAAGGCCTTTTTAAAGTGTTAGGGAAAAAAGGCCTAGCTATAAGGCAGTTTATTAGCAATATTTGTATAAAGAATAATCACCTTACATGCTAAAATATGCAGTGACTAATTTGTACCTGTGACCTTATATGACATCTCTCTGTAGCGGCTCAAATCTTCTCCATTCACGAGGACCAGCTGGGGACATTTTTCTTTTGCATCTCTGACACTCATAAGCTTCTTAACTCCAAGTTTCCTGGCTTCATAGTTGCAAGTAACCACCAAGTATTTCTGCTGAACACCTATGAAAAACAAGCATCATCTGAGGAAACTAAATAGACTTTAGCCTTTAATCTAAAGTTTCATAGTTTTACGCTGTGACAGTGTAGGTGGGAACTGTCTGCTGCCATGGTGGTTAGCAGCAATGAGGCTCAAGCCCACAGCCTTGTGCACACACGCATGCTGGTCAAGCACTCCACCACCCACCACTATGTTCCAGCTTTTGCGGCTTTGGACTTCCCCACCTCCACAGTGGCCTGAACTCCCCATGTAACCCAAGTTGCCCTCTAACTTGAAATCAAAATCACGCTACCTCTGCCTCCCCTTTGCAAGTTCTAGGGTTACAGAATTGTACCACCCTGCCCAGTTCGTGATGGGTTTTGACAAGAATTAAAAAGACATATGAGTAAAGGAAAACAAACTTGCTGGGTAGTGGTGGTGTGCATGCCTTTCATCCCAGTACTCGGGAGGCAGAGGCAGGTGAATTTCCGTGAGCTCAAGGACAGCCGGGACTGTAGCACAGAGCTATCTCCCACTTACAAATCATAAAATACCAATCTTGGTCTCACATATCTTAACTTTCATCTTTAGTTATTTCTAACTGGAGAAGAAAGAAATTATATTAAGAAAACACTGAATAACTGTAGCAGAAATTACATCTAAGAATGTGGGCAGTTACTTCTACACAAAAGGGAAGCTGTGCTTCTCAAATCTGAATTATTATTACATCAATATACTCTAAAGAATTTTCAGGGGGGCTGGAGAGGTGGCTCAGAGTTTAAGAGCACTGGCTGCTCTTCCAGAGGTCCTGAGTTCAATTCCCAGCAACCACATGGTGACTCACAATCACATGTCGTGAGATTGGATGCCCTCCTCTGGTCTGCAGGTGTACATACAGATAGAATAATTGTATACATAAAATAAATAAATAATGGCTGGAGAGATGGCTCAGTGGTTAAGAGCACTGACTGCTCTTCCAGAGGACGGGAGTTCAATTCCCAGCACCCACATGGCAGCTCACAACTGTCTGTAATTCTAGTTCCAGGAGACCCAACACTCATAGAAAACACCAATGTACATAAAATATAAATAAATAAATAAATTTAAAAACCAAATATAAATAAAGAAAAAAATTTCAGAAATAAAACATAAATTAAATCCTTCAAGGATTCTTTCCAGACAACTCAAAGCCCATTTGATCTATAGTTTCATGTAATATTCTTGGGTATGTTTACCAAACAATAAGCCCAATGAAAATAACAAATAACAAATACTGGTTGCTGCTAGAAAAACTCATTTATCTTCTGAGCAAACTGTCAAGGAATATAAGTAATATTCTGAGAGCCAAACTACAGCAATCATGAGAGATCTTGTCCCATTAAGTACCTGAGCAATGAACTATAGATAGCTCATAGTAATTTGTAGTTTTGCCATGAGGAATTGCTTTAGGTTTCCTTTTAAAATTGACAGTATGACCACCTAGAGAACACACTGATAAAAATTGCCAGGTATGTAAGATTGCTAAAATTATTTGCTTTTCTCTTTTTACACAGGTTGGCTGTTTCATGCTACTGTAAGTCATAGCCATCTGCAATAAGTTGAATGAACATAAAGAAAAGAAATAAATCTATATCCATTCTTTTTGCCTATGTTTCAATCTGACATTATAAGACAAATCAAAATCAGTTTTGCAGATATGTTTTTCATCTATCGGACAATGCCTGAAAGCCGCAGTGAGCTATATGAAAAAAGGCTGGCCTGGTGAACTCCTTAGCTCAGAGGACTCCCCACAGCACATCTTGGCCTGAGCTGGTTGCCCATTTATAAATAAAAGATGACTGGGCACTGACACTCCTCCACTAGATCTACATCTTAATCACAATACCTTTTAGAACAAAGGAACGACTAGGCATCTTGTGCTTACTAGAAATGATTTCAGAAGGAAACAACAACAACAACAACAAACCTGATCCCCTAATTTAAATCCTTGACTTGGGAAAGTTTAAAGACTTAGCCTCGCCTTAGAGAACTAAAACCTAGCCATCCCTTTGTTCTTCAGGGAATCAATGGAATGGACGGTAATGTAAAAAAAACAAAAAAACAAAAAACGAACCAGGCACAAGATGAAAGGAGCAAAGAAACAAACACTGCCTTTATGCTTATACTAAAATATCCTCCCTATATGCACGAGAGAATGCTGTTTCCTTACTTAAGGTGCGTGCCTACAGAAGTGAGCTACTACATCTACTAAGAGCTGATTCCGGTTTCTGTACACGTGCTACCTATGCTAATGTCATGCTTATTAAAGGGACGAGACTTGGTACATTCATTCTTGGTAGCAAAGCCAATATGACTGGGAACCAAGTTCGTAAAAATGGACTCCAAGAACTGTCTTAAGATGGTTAATAAATCAGAAAAATAAATCATACTTGAGCTAATTTTATCATCATTCAACAAAGACAACATCAATGTGGATTACCTAAAGGTTTGTCCTTTAATTCTGGATTGGAGATCATTTCTACTTGGGCATAAAAGCAATCCAGATCCACGTGTACTATGACTCTGGATGAGGAGATCCGTGTTGCCACCCCTTGATCGAAAACTGCTGCACAATACACAGAGGGAAACAAATACATTCAGGCTGCTTATCACCAGGGCGCAACTAACACATCCTTAACACGTTTTAAGTGGGAAAGAAGGTACAGTGGCTTGAAGGTTTTTTTCACCCTTGGATTTTATCATGGGTCAAATGTCAACTTTTTAGATGCCCCAAAGTATCTACAAATCATACAGACATAAAACACCATCAACAAAAAGTTCTTCAGTCCTGTTTAACTAACTAGCATGTCTTCAGGTAATACAGCTACACACACACACACACACACACACACACACACACACAAAGTCGTTACTTTGAGGGGGAAACTCATGATCAATAACAAAGGGCACAAAAGCTAGAACTATCCTTAAGTTTTTTGTTTGTTTGTTTTTTAGAAAGTTTTAAGCAGTAGAGGCAAAGACATTGTAGCAATGTTATTTTCAACCAACTGGAGAATTATTTAAAGAGGTCTGTCCCTTCATTAAAAGAAAAAAAATCAAACCGGCACAGCATAACCTGTGGGTTCCAGGACACTAAATTTAACTCCCATGAGAGTAAGATTTCCTGTTCTCAAGTCCCCAGCGCCTAGAACAGTGCCTGAGGCGGAACAGACAACAAATAATTAATCACTGAGTTGAAAACCTAAGCATCTTATTTTTAAATCTGGGGTCAGGGCTGCACCTGAAGCCCTAGGGCCAGTGAGTAAATAGTAGTTTATGTTATAGGTAGTAAAGGAAGCAAGAGGGACGATTCTCTTTAGTTACGAACAAAGCAGGGTAAATGTAACCGTGGGCTAGGAAAAGTACCTTTGTAGGAAAACTGACAAATTCTGAATATAGTGTGTCCTGTAAATGGGCACTAGCTGTGTACTGACTTTAATTTTGATATTTTGATATATGTCAAGGAGATATTAAAGATATTGATATTAGAGAAATAACATATACGCCACAACTGCGGGTGTGTGTGTGTGTATGTGTGTGTGTGTGTGTGTGTCAGGGATTGGAAATCCAGCGCTGGACCTGGCGCCACAAGGCCGGACCACAGGCTGGGGTGGAAGTGGGTCCCCAAGGGACTCCAGACCGTTTTGCTAGATCCGAGGCCTTCCTTTCCTACCTGGACTGAGGCCAGGTCTCTACGCCTAAAAGGAACAAGGTCCTCCGAGTCTTCGACTCGGAGCCGCCGGAAGCACCAGGGGTCCCCTCGGGAGGGCAGGTGCACCCCACCCATGTGTGCAGGAATGCAGGGTCGCTCAAGCGTGCAGGAGCCCTCCGCGCCGGTACTCGCCAGGCCCGAGCGGGAACGGGAGGCCGCGCCCCAACGACCGCCCCGGGCGCCCGCCCTTCCCCTCCAGCCTTCCCTTCCTTTCCCGCCATCACCGGGAAGGCGCACACCCCGCAAGCTGCCCGCCGCCCCCGCGTCCAAGGGCTCCATGGCGCGAGCAGCGTCCTCTTCCTCCGCGGGACCGCCTTCCTCCTCGGCCTCCACCCCCATCTTCAGCGGGGGCCAACCGCAGAGCAGCTGCTGCACGGTCTCCTAGGAAACCAGGGCCCAGTCTCCGGCCGCACGCCTGCGCACTCGAGCGGAACGGCCTGAGTGGCAGAGGGCGGGAGAAGAGGGCGGAGCGCTGCATCGCGGTGGAGGTGGTTAAAGTGGACTAGGGAGAACCCAAATGACCTTTTCTTTTTCTTTCTTTCCCCCCTTCTCTCTGATATTTTTAAAATTTTTTATTAGCGCGTATGTGAGACCATATTCTATGTGAGGGCAAGTGCCCGGAAAAGCCGGAAAAGAGCACTGGAGCCCCTAGAACTGGAGTTAACCGGTGGTTATGAGCCCCTTTCTTGTTTCTGGGAACTGATCCTGGGTTCTGTGGAAGAGCAGCAAGTACTCCCACTTCTGAAACATCTCTTCATCTTCATTCTTTTCTTTTATTGATTCAGTTTTCCCTTAAGCCTTCAGTGTTCGGCTCATACCCCTAAACCTGAGTGATTTGTGTTTATGGGATTGGGGAAAGAGTATAAGTTATATTAAGATCGAGGTAACCAGGTAAAGGACATGATTAACAAGGATGGATGTGAATGTTTGTTAAGTTTTGCTTGTTTTATTTAAAGAGGCTCTGATGCAGTGAACCCTTGAATGGTTTATGTATGAATAGGGTATGAACAGGTATGAATAGGGTTTTGACACACTTGCTTTGGGTTAAAGTCACCATTCCAGAGTCTGATTTTGCTGGCAGTATAACAGTATGTCGTGGAACTGCTCAGAACCTGTACTGTAAAAACAAACGAAACGGGCAAACACACTCTCATTCCATAAATGGAGATAAAGCAACATAGTTTAATATTCTGATGGCTATAAAGCTTCTGGCACATTAGGAGCTCAGTGGTGCCTTCTCATGGGGCGCATATGTGCCTGTATGTCAATATT